CTTGGGATAGTCAGTGTTGGCTTGATTGCTCGGTATTCTTGCTTGGTCGCTCGTTTGGCTACCTAGGTGTTATCTCTGAGTATCTTCTCTCTAATATTTCATATTATCTTCTGGTTCACCTCTTATCTTATACTCACTCAATTTTATTTTAGATTTATTTGGATTTTTTTAGGGAAACCTAGCTTTGTAGGGTTTTGGCAAAATCACAGTGTGGTCTCGCATATTACATCTATATATTTGTTTTTTTTTTCTTTGGATGAGAATATGAGATCCGATATAAGTGTTTTGTTGTGAAATTTAGTTCTGCGTGCATTGTGTGGTGAATCATTATGTGGTTCAGCTATTGCTTCTAGATCAGAATTTTTAGGACTGTTTTATAATGGTAGACATATCATAATGAGAAGCATTACATATTCATTGGTGATTCATATGTGGTTCGACTATTGCTTCTAGATCAAAAATCTTTTTGTGAAGAATACTACGTTTCTTTCATTTAGCTTTCCAAAACAATAACATTTGTTTTCCAAGCGTTATGTAAGATGAATACTTGAGTTCATGCTTGGATTTTCATTATGTTTCCTTGTTAGGATTTTCAAGCGAGCAAATATAAGTTGGTGTAGAGATCCTGTGAGGTTTTCTAGGCCGTTTATTGTTGGAGCAATGTTTAATTTCTCCATTTTATTAGTTCATGTAGAGATCTAGTTGATATTTTTGTATTTTTGTCTATGATTTCCACGTAGTCAACATCATACATGCTACAATAATGTTTATAGAGCAAGATCCGTGTATGTTTATAAGCAAGAAAATGAAGTTTATACGTGTATGTTTATAAGCAAGAAAATGAATGCTAAGTTCTTGCTTATCAATTTTATGAATACTTGAGTTCAAGTTATGTTTATAGAGGAAGATCATATATGAATACTTGAGTTCAAGTTATGTAGATCAGCCATGCAGGTGAAGAAATATTAGCATCAATTTTTCTAAAATATAAGGTAAGAGATGTGAGTGAGAGAATGAGAATAATGATATTTCTTTTTATGTTGATTTTTTCCCTTTGTACTTTGATATTCTCTCACACATTTGCTTGGAAAGAATATAGAAAAGGGGCACAAATAATCCTGCCACACCTACAGTCTTAGAATATATGAATTTATTTGAATTTTGGAAGGCAACACAAGTTTGCAACCATCTTAAGATAAGAATATGAAATGATGTCTTAGATGATTATTCTTACTCTTTATTTTATAAGACAACACAAGTTTGCAACTATTTTAAGCTAATGATATGAAAACTTACAACCATTTTAAAATGATGCCTTAGATAATTTCATATGGTTTAATAATGAAATTTGCTATCTTTTGGCCCTTGGGTAATTGCATATCTAACACTATTAGTTCTGTTCTAATCTCTTTGTTGATGTATCATTTACTGTTTTTAAGGGGGTTTGGTGCCCCGTATAAGTGTTGGTTTGCCCATCATTTTGAGGCTTTTAAATTGTTGTATGGAGGCTTTTACATTGTTGTATGGAGGCTTCAAAAGAAGTTGTTTGGAGCTTTTAAATTGTTGTATGGAGGCTTTTGAAATGCCTGTTTGAATGCAGTATGCAGGCTTGCTACCATTGAATCATGTAATAGTTTGTTTTGTTGGATCAATAGTTGGGCTGGGCTTGTTTATGAGCATGTCCTCGGGGAGGGTAAGAATTCTGCTGCTACAATGCTACCTTTTTACAATGATGCAGGTGGCAGGAACCAGTAATATTGTAAATCATAGATGAAAAATAATGCTCTATGTCATATTATTAGTTGCTACTATGAATTATGTTGTTTGTTTATGAGCATGTCCTTGGGTATGACTCTGTATTTAGAACTCTTCTTTTTGTATGTCATTGGGATGAATCTGGGATAAATCTGCTAGGTATATGCTTCCAATAAAAATTGTAGGTATATGCTTCCAATACAATATATCAATTCTATATTAAAAGGGCAGTTACATATATTACATGAAATAAAATGTCTTTCCCAAAATCATTTATATATCTTGAAGCCCAATTGTGTACAAAAGCCTTAAACAGTTTGTTTCCACACTGCATTTTGAATGCTTACAAACAACCATCTAGTAAATATCTTGAAGACTTATACCTGTACACAATTGGAAACCTGGAAGTTTGTTTCAACAACATTCATTTAGTTTTACTTGGTATTATTTCAATTCTTTTGCTTCTCATTATTTGCCCTCCTTGCATACCACCTGTTCTCAAAGCTTTGGAGATACTTTGGAAGCATTATTTTTCCTCCTTGCAGACCACCTGTTCTCAAAGTTGAAGGAAAGGTAAAATACATAAGAATTGGTCCCTTTGGAGATATTGTTGCATTTATGTACTTTATCACTTCAACAAGTTTCCCAAAAGTTCAGGAAGTTTGGTCCCTTTGGAGATGTGGTTGGAGATGTTGTTGCATTTTTTAACATGTATCAATGGTCTTTGGAAACCTGGAAGTTTGTTTTCGCGCCATTCATTTAGTTTTACTTTAGTATTATGTCAATTCTTATGCTTCTCATTATTTGTCCTCCTTGCATACCACCTGTTCTCAAAGCTTTGGAGATACTTTGGAAACATTATTTCTCCTCCTTGCAGACCACCTGTTTTCAATGCTGAAGGAAAGGTAAAATACATAAGAATTGCGTGCGGCATGTAAATTTCCCATAAATTTATCTAAATGTACAAAAAAATAAAAATATTTGACCTGGGATTTCAGGTGCAGAGTTCCAATTTTGGCTGAGATCGATAGGATTGTGAGGCCAGGAGGCAAGGTGATATTCAGGGATGAATCTGTTGTTGCCAATGAAGTGGAAAACATGTTGAAGTCCCTGCACTGGAAAATTTTAACAAACTTCAACTAAAAATAAAAAAAGAATAATCTCTGCAGAAAAATCAGATTATTTTTAGTTTGAGTTGTATGTAAATGATAAGAAAAATTAAATGTTCAATACAATTATTTTTAGATTTTGATTTTTATTTTGAGATTTTATTTGCATTTTTTGTACTCTTGTTTAGTTTGTACATTTTAAAATTTGTAATAAATTGATTGTTTTTTTGTAAATTTTTGTCAAATTATATGAATATTCTTGTATAAATTTTGTAAAGTTTTTTGAGCTCATAATTTTTTTAAGTTGATAAATCTCTAAATTTTTTTATGAAATTTGTTCTTAAAAAATTTGTAGACAAAATTATTAATTTTTTTTAAAATAATTATTATTAAAATAATTTTATATTCTAACGAGCTAATTTCAAACCGAACACGAACATGAAAATGTTATTCGAGCCGAACACGAATATACTGTTCACGAACCATTTCGAACACGAGCTGGTTTCGAACATGAGACAGATTCAAATGAGCAGAACACAAGGCTCAGCTCGTTTACAGCCCTAATAACTGTCATAGATTCTTAAACAATTTCTTTCACAACAACTTCTCAATTTCTTCTTCAAATAGTTACATCCGTTCCAAACATACCAGAAGTCAAAGAAGTAACTTTGATCTAATTTTGACATAAAAAAATAATCTACGTTTATTTATTCAAAATTGAAATAATAAAAAAAATGTTATATTTTTTTATCATCAGAGCAACTCTTTAGGATTACCTTTGTTTTTTTTAAATCATTATTATTGTTATTTTCATTTCTATATTTTTAATTTGAAATACAACACATTTGATAAATATATTAGTTTTTAAAAATATCTAAAACATATAAAAAGTATTTTTTCCATTTTAAAATAGATTGATTTATATTAAAAAAAATTAAAAACACAAAATACAAAAAAAAAAATTTACTGAATAAATATTATTTTAAAAACAAAAACAATAACTAGAACAATAAAACACTAAATACCTATCATTGGGCTGAATACTGAAATATAAATATAAATTGATGAATGATAATGAATGATTAAAATATATTTAATAAGTAATCATAAATGCTGATATGGTCTCACTTTGAATGTGAATTTCTTAAGGAATCATAAAAAAGGGAAAAAAAAAGCATTTAATAAATATGAAAATAAATGAATAGTAAGGCATCTATCATTTTAAACTAAACAAACAACAAACCAATAATATATCAGATAAAAAATCCACTAAGGCAAATGATCAGATTCAATTCCTGTAATAAAAAAGGGGGCATTTACATACATACCACCCAATTCTTACGCATCATGTACATGTCTAACACCTAAACTTTGATTTTTACATTCATACCACCCAAATAGATAATGGTGGCATACATTTAAAAATTGAAGCTTAGGTATATACATAAGAATTGAGTGGTATGCATGTAAATCTTGAAAAGAAAAAAAAAGAAAAAATCCCAACCACTATCACAATATACACTAAGAACATTTACAGATCCACCTGCAATCTCAAGTTCTATGGACTAATTCCCAGCCCTGTGACCGACCGTGAGCATCATTGTTAATGGTATGGCCATGCAGAGGGATGCTAAAGAATGTCTAACTTCATTATTCAGATTTGAACTATGGAGGCTGAACCAAATCACATCAATTGGGTTAATCTTTGACAGATTAGTTTCTCATTTTCAAGATCTGAATCGAATAACAATGCACGAAATATCATCGGTGCTCTTCCTTGCCAACGCTTCGGCTGTTAGCCGCTTCGCTGCCGCTTGTGGGTCTCGGATGGATTTCACCAGATTGACTGCTTCATTGTTCTTTATTACCTGAAGGAGAAGAAGGAAAATAGAATCACTTTTATTTTTTTATTTGTTTGCTTTTATCTTTATTTTAATTAGGGGTGGGCACATAATTCTAAGAATTGTTGTGAAAAAAAGAGAGAAGATGCAGCTGCGGTTGATACGAATATGGTAAACAACATACCTTCCATAGACCATCACTTGCAAGAATCGCAAATTTCATTGTCGAGTCGATGGGGACATGTCTAACATCGGGTTCGGAGCTTAAATGAGCCTTCAGGCTCTGATCGCCGAAAGCACGTGCGACTGCGAGTTGGCCATTAACACGAGGAACATCACCTGACAGGATGCTAAATGTTAGAAGAAGTGCATACGGCATGGTTCGGGGTAAAAATGAAAGTTTAGGTGTTTGATATGTAAATAAAGCTATGGCCAAATTTGACAATGATATTAGTTTAAAATCAAGTAAAATGTCAAAATAGTCCCCTAACTACTTAAATAAAGTTATTTGTAGGGGTGTAAACGAGCCAACCTTGAGCGAGCCCAATCTCAGCTCGTATTCGGCACATTAAAAAATATTGTTGTTCATGTTTCGCTCGTTAATATATCGAGCGAAAAAATTTATTCGTAATCGGCTAGTTTACTTACCAAGTCGAACACAAACTGTTCATGAACAACGAGGCTGTTGGATATTAAGGCTAGGGGGAGATTTAAATCTTATTATTTATATTGAAATATTCATTTAAATAGAATTTATTATATTTTTTTCTATTTTTTAATTAATAATTTTATATTGATTATAAATTTTTATAGTATTGTAGTCAATTAAATTATTTAAAATTAATATTTAACACGAGCTAAAACGAGTTTAACACGAACAAACAAATATTGCTTTTTGAACAACTTCTTTTTTAATAGTTTCACATCTGCTTCTTCAAACAGCTGCAGTTGTCCCAAACGGACCCTTAATATGGGCTAAAATAGTCCACATGGAGCACTATGTTAGCCCCAAATAAAAAAGTCTAAGGACTAAATTGACGTTTTTATGAACTCTCGGACTAAAATGGCTCCCTACAAAGAGTCCTGGGACCATTTTGTTATTTTTTCTCTTTGAAAACCAAAGCTGTGAAAAAACTGCCCAAGTAGACCCTTAACTTCGTAGAATTAGAGAAGTGTTTTAAAAAGCAGCACTCACCAGGAAAAAGTGTTACAAAACCACCCCGCTCCTCAATATTTCGCCGCTCAGCATCAGGTTCATGGTCGACAGTGATCTGATTCGCTGTTCCTCTTTCACAAAGAACAGCTCTGGAATCTCCTACATTTGCAATCCACATATCTTTGCCATCAACCACAATAGCTGTCACTGCAGTCGAACCCCCAGGACCCAGTTGTGATGAATTTTCTAAAATAAATTTGTTTGTGGAAAGGTAAGCATGTTTTATAGCTGCAGAAGGGTCTGTCCAGAAAAGTGGCTGTACATGGATTAAGGAAAGAATCAACACAAAGGAAATTATGAGACCAATTAATAAACCCTAAGTTTCAAAATAGGGTTGAAGTTATAACACTGATAAAATGATTGACAATATGATTGACATACTAAATAATATTGAAGTTTTGAGCTTAATGAGGTGCCCAGGTTAAGTCATTTTTTGTTAGGATCACTTGTGGTTTTGTTCTTGCATTTACTTTTTTTTAAATATTTATCTAGCATATTTTTTTTACTTTTAAATGTAATTTATTTATTTTTACACTCGGAATAATTTTTCCTTGTTTTCAATGTTTTAATTTGTTTTTAAAAACACTTAAAAACAAATTTTAAGTGCTTTGAGTGTTCATTTTGTTTTTAAAACACTCAAAATAACATTTTATCATATTAAACCTGTTTTATTTTAAATTAGGCAAAATAAAATAAAAATGAATAAAATAAATAAATAAAAGCAATCCAAAATGGCCCCTGACCTTTTTAATTCTATAACATGAGGTTGGTGACATTCGACCCAAAAAAAAATGAAAAAAAAAAAAGAAGTATAACGACTAAGCTCAAGTAAATGGCCAAAATAGCCATTTTGGCGTTCCTCACAAATCAGCATCGCTCAATTTAATATGATCAGCCCTATGAAGGCTAAAATCCCTCATTTAAGCAATTTATGTCCAAAAAATAACAGTTGAAGATAGGACCAAATTAGCTCAACTGGTGAGTTGAGGGCTAAATCAAATTCCTCAAAAGTCATATTAAAATGGACACACATAAAAGTTGAAGAATTCCTTTGATCATTTGCTCGACTAAATTTGAACTAACTCACAATGTTGTACAAAACGTTACTATATAAGAAAACATGCTAGAAACAAAAATTCTCAACATGCATAAGAAGTTTGTATGAAACTGCATGACCAGCATAAGATGGGTAGCTCCCGAGTTTGTGTGGTACAGAACATAATACGTGCGTAGTATGCTTGAAGAGAAAAATAATTAGAAACATTTACATACATACCACTTAATTCCTATGTATTTCCATATCTAACACCTAAACTTCAATTTTTACATATATGGCACCTTAACTATGCATGAAAAGTTGTAATTCACCTTTTATAAGTTAAAATAGTGGTATTTTTTATGTGATATAAAAGATTTGGGTGATATAAAAGTAAAGGGTAAAGTTTAGATGTTAGACATGTAAATACATCAGAGATGGGTGGTATATATGTAAATGCCCCAAATATTTTATGAGAATGAAATATGAATTTGAATGTACCTCTCTAAGTATATTATTGAAAAGATTATCTTTCAAAAAGCTCGGCACTCCATCTCCCAAATGACCGTCAAAAATAGCAAACAGGCCAAGTTCATGATTGTTCTCATATCTGTACTCAGCTACGATATAATCTTCCATATCATGACCAGATTTTCCTTCAATCATGTGGAATCCATGCTTCACTTTATTACTCGAAAACCTGCTCTGTCCCTTTCCAGTATCTTCGGATGATGAATTTAGACAAGCGGCACTCTTCATGAGCACCAAATTGTTAGAAGACACGGGAGAAGAAATTATACAACAATAACTAGGAAAATATACAACCGTAGCGCAAAATTCTTATGTATTTACATATCTCAAACATCTACTTTCATACATACATAGCATATTGTTGCATTAAATATATGCATGAAAATGTGTACTTTGCTTTTAAAAAGTGTCGATAATGCTATTTTTAACGTGATATTAATGATTTGAGTGCTATGTGTGTAAATATGAAAGTGTAGGTGTGAGATATGTAAATACATAAGAATTATATGCTATGTAGGTAAATGCCCCTAATAACTATGGGAATAAGTACAAAGGCAAGGATAATTGCAAATTTATTAAGAATGAAAGAGATAACAGGAACAAAAAAAAGAGTGGACATCCCAAAGAAAGGCCATGAAGTGTTGAAATGACTACGATGTTAAATAGATGAGCCAAAATCCAAGGTTGTGTGTTGTTATTAATTAACTTTTACATTCTCGATTCTACTATATAAACTTCATTTATCATTCACTTTTATCATGATACCCCAGCATGCCTAGCTCTAAAATAAATTACGTAATTTGGACATGTGCAAAATCAAGCATATAAAGCAAAAAATAAGGTATGAGTACCTAATTATTGTGAAGGAATACAAAGAAAAATAAAATGTAAATTAAAGATGATATGGCAAAATGTGTCCGTGCAGCATTAACAAACAGGGCCACAATATTAAAAAATCATCTATATGATTTTATCCTTGTAGTGCACCAGGATCGAGCTTCTTTATTTTCTCTCCAGAAAATTTATGTAACTAAAAAAGTTATATTCATTAGACAACAATACTAAGATGTGTGCTGTAATGGAGGTGCTCGCATCATTTCTCCGAGAATAAACACAAAGCAAAGAGCACCATGATTTATATGGCCCGCTTAAAAAAAGACCTACAATCAGAGGGCGGAGGGGTAGCCAATAAACCCACTATCAATTGTAGGGAAGAAGACAAAAATAAAGAGGTGAGACACAATACAGACTCCTTTGGAACTAAAAGAATCTCACTAAAATTGGATCTCAAAACGAAGATAAAGGATGAATTTCTATCACCAAACCACCAAGAAAAATTAGAAAAAATAAGATAAAAGAAAGAGCCCAAATACCAACTCCAAAACATCCTGCTACTAAGCTCCATCTACATATTGATTCTCTACATTCTCTACATAAAGCACATCAACCTACACATGCCTCTCTAGCTTTTTTGTGACGCTAAGAGGATATTCATTCAATCACTTCTTGCAGAGAGCGCCTCATTCAATGTATGTAAAGAGCATAAATTCGGCCTTGAGGATATTTATAAAAATACAATTAATATTTTACATAAATAATTACAATTATCCCTCAAATCAAAACTTCAATGCCAACATAAGAAAAAAAAATTGGAGCATACTCAAATAACCAAAGGCATGTGAGAAGAAAAAAGAAACATGAGGGGAGGAGGGACATGAGAAAGGGCTTCAATAACTCATTATCTTATTCAATAGTCAATCAACCAATTCATTTTAACAAATCCAGGACCTCTTCATATAGACTATGGTCCTTGATGAATATTAAAAACAAGTGAAACTAGAATGAAAAAAATATAATATATCCTCATAACAAATTAAATTTAATTAAAAATCAACTAAAACATGCACAAAAAGTAAATGGACGCATGGTAATGATTTGTACAAAAATCTAATGATTGAGATGATCAATCCCACATTATTCTTTTTTTTATTTATTAAAAATGAAAATTAAAAATTTTAAAACAAAAAATCATATTATTATTATAAAACCTAATTGATTCAATCAAATGTGGACGATTAAATTTTTTTTTTCTTTTTTTTTATCAAACAATACACTTCCCTAACAACCATTGATGGTTGCTCTTTACTTATAGTAGGGAGTGTTAGGTATGACTCATATACCAGATAAGGGACAAATGCTGGAGAGGAACGAAGCGAGCCAACGGAGCGAAGCGGAAGCATCTGTCCAATTGAGGGAGTTTCGTTAAGTGGGTTGGGGTGCGGGGGCAACGGCCCTGCAGTACGGTACAAGGATAATTTTGTAATTACATATTATAAACTAGGGTTAATTTGTAACTCTAAGGAGATGTACTGTTTTTTCGAGAAATCAGAAAGCCGCCGCTCTTGCTCTCGATGACATAGGCAATTTGCCGAATCTTGTTAAATACGTGTGTTCTTTGTTGTGTTCGTTGATTCCTGCATTGATTTGCCCTAATTTCTCAACAGGGAGGCTAGTGGCCTAGAATGCAGGCGTCAAGCTTTGATGGTTACATATGTAGAACATCATCAAGTTTCAAATGACAAT